TCTTTCAGAACCCACTTTGTACATGTTCTCAGGGTGAAATTGGCCGCAGAAGTGCAGGGGACAATGTCCTTGAAAGGGAGGGTTATGCTGTGTCCGCAGGATTCGCACTTGGTCTTGTTGCTCTGGGTATGTCTTTTTGGTTTTTTCCCTACTGAAATCTTTTTTCTTCTGTTTATGCTGACTCTGGATTCTTATTGGCTCAAGGCCGTGGAAGTGATGCACTTGGTTCCATGGAATCCTTTGTCAATCGCTTACTCCAGTATTTAGGAGCAAAAGAGGTTAATTTCTCTGGATTTCACCTAGGTGTATCCCAGTCTGAATCATATCACATTGGATTTGTAAAGTGTCTATTGTTGTACTAAAAAACTTTTTGAAATCCTTGCAGGAAAGATCTGTCCTTGCACCATCACATGAAGATCACCGAAGTGCTGCACAGGTTTGCCTGTGAATCTTCATATATTCCTCTGTGAAGCTTTTATTCCTATGTGTCACAAACACTTACCGAATTCTAATTATGTGGGTATCATAATTTTTTTGTCTCAGATAACAGACGGAAGCACTTCCAACGTTGATATAACTGCACCTGGAGCAATAATAGCTCTCACCTTAATGTATCTTAAGGTGGGTGTTGAGGATTGTTTAACTAGATAACTGATTCAAACTTCAGCCTTTAGAGCTTTTTGTTTTTGTGTTTTTTCCTGTGGACTGTCGACACTTTCAGAAAGCTTTATAATGTTTGTTGCAGACAGAATCCGAGGTCATCTTCTCAAAGCTCTCTATTCCACAAACACATTACGATTTGGAGTGTGTAAGGCCTGATTTCATAATGCTCCGTGTCATTGCTCGGAACTTGATAATGTGGAGCAGGTAATATTTATCTTGCCTAATGAGGAGTGCTGTAATTGATGCTTCAAAGATTTTAGTCTGATAGACTTTTGTACTATAGGATCTGTCCTACTTGTGATTGGATTCAGTCTCAAGTTCCTGAAGTTGTCAAAAATGGTATCAGCCACCTCCGAGATGACATGGATGATATGTATGAGGTGGATGTTGAAGCCCTTGTGCAGGCATACGTCAATATAGTGGCCGGGGCCTGCATTTCACTTGGTATGTAATAGAATTTTTATGAGACATCAGTCTGTACTGTCTCATGATAATTATGACATATATTGTTGTTTCTGATAGGCCTGAGGTTCGCTGGTACGAGAGATGGAAATGCTCGGGACTTACTTAAGAACTATGCTCTCTATCTTTTGAATGAGGTAAATCATCCAAGGAAATGTGATATTTTGTTACTCTTTTTCCCAAATGCTAATAAGTCTCTGGAATTTCTTCTGATCATCTCTCTGTGAGCTTATATGTTTCGATGTATGTAGATCAAGCCTCTTTCTGCTACACCTGGAAATGCTGGAAATGCATTTCCAAAGGGAATATCCAAATATGTTGATCGGGGAACGCTTGAAATGTGTCTTTATCTCATCATTATTTCTCTATCAGTGGTAATACTTCTTCTCAAGTCTCCTGTCTAACAATATTCATTTTTCAAGTCAGTAGCTTTATGTCAAAGAACTCACTTGTATAGGTCATGGCGGGATCAGGAGACTTGCAAGTTTTTCGGTTGTTGAGATTTCTCCGTAGCCGAAACTCTGCTGATGGACATGCTAACTATGGCACGCAAATGGCGGTAAGCATTTTTGTGCAAAATTAAGGTTCCTTCATTTCATGTAATTCAATTGCCTAGCATTTTATTTCTCAAGTTGGAATATTAAAATGTATTTTCGGGAGCAGTAATCTATATCATTTTGAAGTGGCTTGCAATCTTGTAAGTTGTAAACATTAAAAAAAATCTCAGGTCACTGAGCACTCATAAAAACATGAGGAAGTTCTAGCTCTTCTTGCATCCATCTGATACTGTGGCCAAAATAATTCTTCTTTAATGTCCGAGTGAACTATGTGCACCTTGTAAAGTGATTTAAAAGCTGCTGATATGGTCTTGGTAATGTGATCGCAAAATGTGAGACTATTGAGAGCACGCTTAGGATTTGATACTTCTTGTTGATCAAATTCATTCTATCCTCTCTTTTTTAAAAGTATGAGACAGCATCATTTTCTTTCCTATAGGTGAGCTTAGCCACGGGTTTCTTGTTTCTTGGAGGTGGTATGCGAACCTTTTCAACGAACAATGGCTCACTTGCTATGTTGCTCATCACTCTCTATCCACGGTTGCCTTCTGGACCTAATGACAACCGTTGTCACCTCCAGGCAAGTTGAAGTCTCTTATTTATTCTTTGCATCGCTCTTTTTGTCTTTGGCTTGGTTGCTGTCTCTGTCGGATGTCAATTCTATAGATATATATATATATATATATATATATATATATATATATATATGTATATATAATGTTACCCAAAACCAATCACTTTGTTGATTGTGATATCCAAGACATTCCAAACTTGGAAGTTGGTTTCTAGCTTTTATTGTGATATCCATGCTTTTACCAGATACATCTTACAAGGTGAATTTTGTTTTTTAATTCTAGGCATTCAGGCATTTATATGTCCTTGCAACAGAGGCTCGTTGGCTGCAGACTATTGATGTTGATTCCGGTCTACCTGTTTATGTGCCTCTAGAAGTCACAGTGAAAGAGACAAAACTTTATTCAGAAACAAGATTTTGTGAGATTACTCCGTGCATTCTGCCAGAGCGAGCTATTGTAAGAAAAGTTCTACAGCTTACCGTCAGTTCCCCTGCATATTTTTAGTAACAGAAAAAGATTACAAAAGTGTTCTTGATTTGCAAGCTCGCACTGCTTTCTACAAAGATTATGAAAATCATTTAAGTTTTTCTGGTTGAAGCACATTTGTGGCAACTGCAAGTTGGATATCAGAAAACTAGGGCCATACACAAGCGTGGCTCAGTTCTAGTTTAAGTTTTTTTCATGATATACCTACTCACCGATTCTATCTGCTTGTTTTGCCCACCTTCACCTAAAAATGTATTTGTATCCTGCAGCTAAAGAGAATTTGTGTCTGTGGTCCCCGATACTGGCCCCAACAAATTGAGCTAGTCCCAGAAGGTGATTGATGCATTTGGTTGTATATATTCCATTTTTTTGCTTGGTCAATAGCTGGTATTAAGGTTTTTAAATTTTTTGACCAATGTAATACAGAGAAAAATTGGTGGAGCTTTGGGGACAAGAGTGACCCCTTCAATTCTGGTGTAATTTATGTCAAAAGGAAGGTAGGAGCTTGTTCGTATGTTGATGATCCAGTTGGGTGTCAGTCACTGCTTTCACGAGCAATGCATAAGGTTGTATACTCCATCATATACTCTCAGCTTAGATAGATTAAAGTCATAAAAAACTGTTTCTGATACAGGGTTGCAAGCTTTTGTTGATGCAGGTTTTTGGTTTAAGAACTCTGGAACAATCTAATATGCTTGGTAATAGTCATAGAGAACTGGATTCTGATGGTGTAGACCACTTGGTCAGCACGTTCTCATCGGATCCAAGTCTAATAGCCTTTGCACAGTTGTGCTGTGATAAATCTTGGGATAACAAGTAAGTACTTTTATTTGGTTGGTGCACATTTATTTGTGCTTATACTTCTGTTTGGCCTGAATGTCCATAATTCATAAAAGAGTTGGGTAGTTTACATATTAATTTACAGAAGCCTTGTATTCTAACAAATTCATTTATACAGATCTGATTCTGATTTCAAGGAGTTCTGTTTGCAAGTGTTGTTTGACTGTATAAGCAAGGATAGGCCAGCACTTTTGCAGGTAATTGTAACTTATTGCCACTTAACCCTATGAGTCAATGGTTTTTACTGTGTGGAACATTCTTGTTGTAGGTTATTTGGCATATGTATACTAATCTCGAGTACATGTCACGTGATTCTTATAGGTTTATTTATCTTTGTATACAACCATTGGTTCAATGGCTAATCTGCTTGTGAAAAGTGATAGTAACGTGTGTGATTCAATTTCCATCTCAAGTCTCAAGGTACTCTTTCTGCAACAACGGAACTGAAAAATACTATTGTTTTTACAATTTGTAACCTGCTTGGCTTTTCCTATTTTTGGATCATCTAATATTATGAGATATCAGGTTGCTCTTGCCTACAACGAGGCGGTATCAAGTGGAAGATTGAGCTCTTCGGGTAGCTTTGTACAATCGATATTCTTAGCATCACTGAGAAAGCGATGTGAAGAGATTCTGAATAACTCAACGGAGCTGAAGATAAATCTGAGGAAGTATTTGAGCACAGAAGCATGGCCTGATGATTGTAACTCAAAGTTGCAGAAAGATATAATAATTCTGTCATGGTATTTAAAATGGTTCAGCGTACCATCTCCATCGATCATCAAAGCAGCAGTGGAGAAAATCAAATCCAAGTCCAAAAACTCAATTTCGGCAATACCTCTGTTGCGAATGTTGTTACCAAGTACGCATGTTAGTGCGATTAGTGAAATTGATAGGGTCTTTTTTTCCTCAAATGAAACAACTCTACTGTGAAGACATACATGATTTCTCCAACTCTTTTTGTTGAGTCCGTTGTTAATTAGTAAGATTAATTATTTGAGGAGAAGCTCTTGGGTCAATTTCAGTTTCAAATTCAAATGGGATAAATGATAATCAATGTGCATGACAAAAGCATGATTCACAAATTGGACCAGGACCAGGTTCTATTACACGAATATAGTTTTGGTTCGAGATGTCACCAAATTACACATTCCTTTAGGCCCATGAAGATTGGAAATTGGCCCATTAGGATTGTCGTCCAGGGCTGATGGTAACGGTACGGACGAACTCCTTTTTCTTGGCAAGGAGCAAGAGCAAATCGCGTGGCTTTTTCTCTCAGCGAACCGGTTCCAATCTACACAAAAACGGACCGATCAAATCAATTGGAGGAACCGAATTTTATGTGTAAACCAGAAACCGGTTAAAGAAAACACAAAAACTCGGATGGCTTCAGTAAAATTCAAATCGAATCGGTCATCCTCTCTGACTGACTCTCTCAAATTGAATCTCAAGTTCCTTTTCTTTCTTTTTGATTCTGCGATCAAATTCCGACGAACAAAACTCTCTTGCTTCCGCCTGTTTCTTCCGTCCGATGCATCTTCTCGATTGAATAATTATATCCACCGCAATTTTATCACCGGAGGAATCAGCTCTCATCTTTCTTGGTTTAGCTCGATGTTCGCCAGAAAATTTCTGCAGAAATCCTCCGGCGCTCACAATCCTCCTCCTCCTACAGCTCCTCCGCCTCGGGTATTTCATCCTCACCTCTTTTAATTTTACTATCCTTGACACAAATAAAAATTGAGTTTTCATGCTTCTCCCGCTTGGAGTTTCACACTCCCAAATACTTAGCTTAGGCTTTTTGCGTTCTGGGCTCAGCTGGTTTTTTTCTTTCTTTTGGGTGAAATTTGATGCCTATAGCTATCGGTCCTGAAGTTATTAAATTTGAAAATGTTTTTTTTTGCAATGAATAGTTTGTTCTACTTTAAATGTAGTTGATGTCCTGCCCATCTATGGCCACGAATCTAGGATTGTGGATATGTTGGACACGATAACTTCAGGAAAAGAAATGTACTTGCACTACTTAAATTTTCGATCATTGAGATGGCTTTACAGAGATGTCTCGTTTAGGATTTAACGCATGGGACTTACCTTATTATGCATCACAAGTACATTGGTTCACGTTAAGTCTTTTGATTCCATGATTCACCTGAGACAGCTCCAAACCCCCCTCCATTCCAGGGATGCCTTTTGGCTTTAGACGTTCACATGTCGTATGAATCTTTACAGGGATGTTTGGTAGCAGAAGACCTGGAGCCCCATATTGTCACCCACTGTGGGATTCCTTCCACGGCATCTCTTCTTGCCTTTGACCCTATTCAATGTCTCTTGGCTGTGGGAACATTGTAAGTTCTTGTCTAAGACTCTGTATTTTCTGCAACACCCTTACTTGAATAACTAGTGTTACTCAGTCCAAAACAACATGTTAAGGAAATTATGGTTGAGATGTAGGGGAGTAAATCAGTAATAATTTTGGCTAATTGAATCATTCTCGAGTCTTTCTAGCTACCATAATATCTATGATGAGAGAAACAACTATCTCCCTTGTTTCTATTTTATTTGAAATTTTAAAAGTAATGTTCTTTTTGTTAATCGTTGCAGAGATGGAAGGATAAAAGTCATTGGTGGTGATAATATCGAGGCGATTCTTGCATCTCCTAAGCAGTTACCTTTCAAAAACTTGGAGGTTTGTGGAATTCTGTTCATTTATTGAATCTTGATATTTTGAGTGCCTATAATCACGTTCAGTTTAAAAATATTGGTATCTGATTATAGCTTCTGTGTAATTCTAATTCCTGACGTGCTTTGCTAGGTTATATCTCTTTCTTCTTAATAATGGTTTACAAGAATTTCAGTCATATAATATAAACTAACTTCCATGTTCAAATATCCTTTGATTTGATGTGATTTGATGTTATTTGAGTGTTATAGTGGCAGAAATGATTTTTCTCTAGTCTTTCTATCCTTTTCTTGATAGATCAACTTACATTGTGAAATTGGGACATATATATCTCACAGTCCAACCGCTTTATGATCCCATTTAACTGTAGTCCACTTGACATTTTGTCTGTAACTTCTACAGTTCATGCAGAACCAAGGCTTTCTGGTCAGCATCTCAAATGAAAACGAGATTCAGGTACCAGTTCAGTTTGATGTTCAAAATTTTCGTATTATGAGCTGACGTCATCACTTCTGTTTGACTTTTTTGACTCTCGCCTTATAATCATCCACTCCTTCAATTTTGCCAACAACCTATTTGATCGGTTCATCAACAAAGTTTTCCTATTTATTAGGTTTGGGATTTGGATCTTAGGCAACCAGCATCAAGCTTACAATGGGAGTCAAACATTACTGCGTTTGCAATTCTTCATGGCACTGGATATATGTATTAAGCTGATTAGGATTACAGTTTGGAGCAATAATTTTCCAATGACAGTTACTACGGTATACTAAACTGTGTTTCTTATCTCATTCACAGGTATGTTGGCGATGAGTACGGTATGGTGTCTGTTCTAAAATACAGTGCTGACGAAGGGAAATTAGTGCAGCTTCCTTATTATGTGCCAACTGATGCTTTAGCTGGTATGGGGTTCCTCTTTCAATGTAGTGATCAAATGTGTTTAGATGCGCTACTGAGTTTAGAAAGTTTTTAATTTTTAGCTCTTAGTCATTACTATTCTTAATTAGTAATCTATCTACCTTCACCAAAAATTTAAGTTGTTTTTCAAACTTATATTCTCCCGTTTCCCTCTTTGAGCAGAAGCAGGGGGGCTTTCATCTCCTATTGATTATCCGGTTGTTGGACTTCTTTCTCAGCCTTGTTCAAGGGGAACTAGGTGAGATAAGATTTGTTCTGATATTATGCTTATTATTTGACATAGAATGGAAAGCATTGCTAGATAAGTTCGTTCATTCAATTTTTTATCATTGAACACAAGTACCTCTTTCTATAAGTCTTCATTTTCTATGGTATTTAAGTGTATTATAAACAAGAATATGATCTTTCTTTTTTATAATTATTTTTCATGAATTTCCCTACAGACTGTTGATTGCATTTTCAAATGGATTGCTTTTTCTTTGGGATGCATCAGAAGATCGTGTCATGTTAGTACGAGGAAACAAAAATCTACCCGTGGAGGGTAACACAGTCGGTGATTCTTTGGACGCCTCACATGATGAGCTTTCTGATCTTGAACTCGACGGAAAGGAGATAAGTTCTTTGTGTTGGGCATCAACCGATGGTTCAGTTCTTGCTGTTGGCTATGTGGATGGGGACATATTATTTTGGGACTTTTCTGATGGACAAAAGGGGAAGCCATCTAATCACGTTGTTAAGTTACAGTTGTCTTCGGCTGAGAAAAGACTTCCTGTCATTGTTATGCATTGGTGTTTGGATGTATCCCGCAAGGGTAGTGGTGGAAAACTCTTCATCTATGGTGGTGATATCATTGGATCTGACGAAGTACTTACGGTGAGAATTCAGCTCAAATCAAAACGTTCGTAGCACAGATTGGTGATCTTGGGCCAAATATAAACTGAGTTTCTTTCCAAACAAAAACATACGAAAACGAGTCATATTTTCTTCTAAACATGTTGCATTTTCATGGTACAAGGGAATCCCAAACATGAATCTACCTTGCATATGCAAATGTATAGCCTAATATGATGTCCTTTTGCTGATCACCATGTGCAGATGTTAGGTCTTGATTGGTCTTCTGGTATGGGAGGTCTGAAATGTGTTGGGCGTGCTGACCTGACCCTTAGCGGTTCATTTGCTGATATGGTCTTGTCTCCAATTGCCAGTTCAAGGCAAAGTGGGATGTTTTTATTTCTGTTGACAAATCCAGGACAATTGCAAGCATATGACGATACCTCCCTGGCTTCTCTGATGTCTCAGAAAGAAAATAAGATTTCCGTTCCTCCGCTGCCATATCCTATGGCTGTACCAACAATGGATCCACATATGACAGTGGCAACATTTGCTGCATTAAATGTGAATGATAAAACGTCACTAGCCCTTTCTGAGGTAGTCCCACAAATTTCCCTAGTTGTGTTTCCCATTTTATGGCTATTAACTTATATCTTATTCCTGATAGATAGTCTTAGCTGCAAAAGCTCGAACTCCACGTACTCCATCCGGGGAGAGTACACAGTGGCCTCTGACAGGTGGTGTTCCAAGCCACCTTGATGATTACAAGCTTGAAAGACTGTACATGGCAGGTTATCAAGATGGGTCTGTGCGAATATGGGATGCAACCTATCCATGCCTGTCTCTTATTTATGTACTGGAGCCGAAGGTATTAAATGTTATAACTTTTCTTCTTTTGAGCTTCAACTTGAAAACTCGTGTATCAGCTGGTTGATATTTTGATGAGAATTTTTGCCTGCAATTAATAATTTATCCTTCATCAATGATCAGGCAAATGTTTTTGACATAACTGGAGTAGATGCATCAGTAACGGCATTTTGCTTCTGCTCTAAGACTTCTTATTTGGCTGTTGGTAATGAATGTGGTATGGTAAGAAGACCTGTTTCTGTTGATACCTTCTTGATTCCAGCTTAGATTTAATGTGCATCTGATTCTCCCTCACATCTCTGATTCTGTAGGTTCGCCTATTCAAGCTGGTCGGCCACAAAAGTGGGGGAACTGTGGAAATTGTTACCAACACTGACAAGAAAGGTTACACTTCATCTTTATAACATGGACACTATGGATTTTTCTGCTTGATCTTATGTTGTAGGTTCGTTACTTGTAGCTCACCATTTGCATCAAGAAGATGGTCCTCAATGGTTGGCTGCATTTGCCTTTCTGAATTCCCCAGTATGCACCCTGCAATTTGTACAGTCTACAAGAAGGCTTGCCGTGGGATTTAAATGTGGCAAGGTAAGGATTTTACCTATGTTGAAGTGTCGGCATACAGCCGCTTTCTCTAATTGAAAGTAAACAATTAAAGTTTCAACAATGACCTTTCAGACCAGTTCTAATTTGCGTTCCATATTTCAGGTTGCAATGCTCAACATTGGTGTGCTATCAGTAATGTTTGTTACAAATAGCTTATCTGACTCAGGTTCCCCAATCAAGTCACTCTATGTGAAATCCTCTTCAGCTCCAACCAACTCAAAAAGTGATCCAACTGATCACAATTCCATAAATTCTGAAGATGATTTAATCTTGTGTGCAATGAACAAGGATGGGCAGACCAATCTTTTGGATGGCAATACTGGGAAAATACTCGCCTCATGCTTGAGACCTCAAAAGAACCCAACTGCAATTTGCATGCACATTATAGGTAGGTTTTCTGATACCAACTTAAAAGTGTGTTTCTTATACATATATTAAAAAGTAATTCTACTTTGCAGAGGATTGCTATGAGATTTCTGAAACGCCCAGTGAAAAACCAGGTGGAAAAGTTTCTGGGAAGGAGAAACATGAGAACAAATCTCATATAATCATTGCCAGTGAGAATCATTCACCAAATGGTGAACAGAATGCTATCACAGAAACGAAACTTGTTGATCAGGGATTTGTGAACTCATTATTTCTCATGTGTTCTGAGGATGCTCTGCACTTGTATTCTTTAAAGTCTTTACCTCAGGTATATTACAGGATCTACCTTTACTTATGACACCCAAAGTATCTTGCTGGATTTTTCTGATAACAAAGACTTGTTTTCAATACCTAGGGAAGTCTTGAGAGAAATATGGAGGTAAATCTTCCAAGGCCGTGTTGCTGGATGGGAATCCTAAAAAAAGATGGAAGGGAATGTGCAGTACTCCTGCTTTACAAAACAGGGCATATTGAAATAAGGTGACTTTCTTATTGCTACCACAAGTATTATATGTATGCCAGATAAAAATTAGTTACCAAATCCAATCGTGTGAATATCTAGTCTGAAGACCACTATAAATGGACCATTTATTGCTCATAAAACAGCTATAAAAGAATGATGTCTTAATTGAACAGATCTTTTCCTAATCTGGAAGTTGTGGGAGAGAGCTCTTTGCCCTCACTTCTTAGGTGGAACTTCAAGCCTAACATGGAGAAGACAGTATGTTCAGATGATTTCGGCCATGTCGTCTTGGTGAGACTTCCTGAAAGAGAGCTTTCAACATGTGATGTACTAAGTATGCCAAGTTAGATCTTGATTATGACTTGGCATGTATAACATCAGAGAGAACACTTTTGTTATCTCAGATGTTAAGGACTAATAAATATTAAATATCTACAGGTAAATGGTTGTGAAGTCGCCATCCTTTCGTTGTTGGCCAGCGCAAACGGCTTTAGGTGCTTATCATTTTATGTTCCGTACTTGGTTTCTCAGTGACTACAACTAGAACTTTTGCATGCTTAGCTAGCAAAGTAGCAGTAAGTTACTAATACCTAACTCTGCATTCACCTCAGGGTCCCAGAATCTTTACCTTTGCTTCATGACAAAGTCCTTGCAGCAGCTGCGGATGCTACCTTTAGCCATATCTCTGCTCATAAAAAAAATCATGTATGTTTTGTTTTTACATGTGAACCCTTTATCGTAAGCTCCATGGTTTTGCTATAAAAGTGTATTTGACCACAGGATGCTCCCAAATTCCTAAGTAACATTATAAAAGGCTTCAGATCAAGCAGTGAACAGAAGGTGGACCACGTACAAGATTTTTCCCACCTGGGGAACATCTTTTCTAATCCACCATACTTAAAGCCTTCTGATATCGGTGGCGACGACGAAAAGATTGTCGAGCTAAACATTGGTTTGTAATATTTATACTAAGTTACTCTTTCCCGGTTTCCTGTCTCTGACTAAAAATGGTTTTGTGTAGATGACATCGAGATAGATGAACCTGTGGTCATCTTGCCTTTGACAGAGAAAGACAAAAAAGAAAAGAAAGGTGAATACTTTCTTCACCTCACGATCTAGTATCATTGTGAATGCATCAGACGAATCATAAGGTTTCTTTGCAGATAAGAGAACAGATAAGGAAAAACTGTTCGACGGTGCATCCAGTGATGCACAACCCAAAACGAGAACTGTGGATGAAATTAAGTCCAAATACAGAAAAGCAGGGGTGAGTCCAAATACCAATTTGATATCTAAAAACGCTTTTTGCTTCTATCTCTAACATGGGATAATTTTTCCAGGAAACCTCTGCAATAGCGTCACAAGCAAAGGACAAACTTCTTGAGCGTGGAGAAAAACTCGAGGTCATATATTATGCTGCAGAGAATACATCTTCTTTCTTTAAACTAACATGTTTCCAAGCTATGTAACAAACTGATCCTAACTACAAAAACATCTCTTTACTTGTTTTATCTTCCAGAGAATCAGCCAACGCACAGCTGAGCTTCAAGACGGGGCTGAGAACTTTGCATCCATGGCACATGAACTTGCTAAGCAAATGGAGAAGCGAAAATGGTGGAACATATGAGAAAGTTGCAGTCATTGTGGGTTTTTTCGTATATAAATTAATGATCTTTTGATTTCCACAGGTGAAAACTCTCTTTCATAATATTTGTTCTCAATCGAATCTGTAAAATAGATTGACCAAAGGGAGCAACCCTTCTAACTTGAGAAGTTGCTTGTGAGCTGATTTGAGCTTTCGTTTCCCTTATTTATGAGAGACTGTCGTTCTCTTTCAGAATGTTTTCTCTACTTTCATTTGATTAAAACCTCAATTTATAATCTATAGCTATCTATGCTTCGACCAAAAACGACACGCTGGTCGTCGTTTACTTAAAAAATCCCACAGCTTGACTTCGCCAGTAACGAGACACTGTTTATGACACATTTGACTCGTGCCTGAACCCTAGATCCCGCTTTTTTAGTCTCCTTACTTTCTCGTTACACAACAATGAACAGTACACCACACATTCATACTTACATATATGATATATCTACTACCGATAATTGAAAGATGGCCACATAAAGAAATAGCCTTTCCGCCTGTGTGTGCCTTAGAAAATCACAGAGAACTGGTAGAGAAAGATACACGACGACAAGGATCAACCAACACAAGTTCATCTCTCGCTCTTATTTCTACGTTACCTCTTCACTAGAGAGAGTGCATATAAAGTGATAGACTTTTTTTTCCTTTTTCTTCTGGGGAAGAGCTCCAATGGCGAGCTGGGTACTATCAGAATGTGGTATTAGACCTCTCCCTAGATTCTATCCGAAACCCACAAACTCTCTCGTCTCTAACACTATACCCACTTTCAAATTCAATCCAAAAGTTACACCTCCTCCATCTTCTCTCAATTCCAGAAAAGGGTTCTTCTCAAAAGCTAGGAACTGGGCATTGAATGTGGCCACGCCTTTAACAGCTCCTCAGTCTCCGTCTGAGGAACATACTGAGAGATTCGACCCCGGTGCGCCTCCTCCATTCAATTTAGCAGACATAAGAGCAGCGATACCCAAGCATTGCTGGGTTAAGAATCCATGGTTGTCAATGAGTTATGTTGTGAGAGATGTTGCTATCGTCTTTGGATTAGCTGTAGTAGCTGCTTACTTTAACAATTGGCTTCTCTGGCCTCTCTACTGGTTCGCTCAAGGGACCATGTTTTGGGCTCTCTTTGTTCTTGGCCATGACTGGTAAATCCTATACTGACAAACTTGTGTTCTGTTTTGGTCTCTTTTTATATTGTAACCAAGTATTCTTCTTGACTACCTTGCAGCGGACACGGTAGCTTCTCCAATGATCAGAGGCTGAACAGTGTAGCAGGTCATCTTCTTCATTCCTCAATTCTGGTCCCTTACCATGGCTGGTGAGTTTTGCTATCAATCCTTTTCTCTCTCTGAAGCGAATCACGCTCACGTTCTTCATGAAACTATTTGACTTTTCCTTGTAGGAGAATTAGCCACAGAACTCACCACCAGAACCATGGGCATGTTGAGAATGACGAATCTTGGCATCCTGTAAGTAGTACACTCCATAACTAAACAAAGATAAAAAAAAAATTTGGCTGTGTACTTAGATAGAGTTTGTGTTTTTGTCTGCAGTTGCCTGAAAGCATGTACAAGAAATTGGAAAAAGCAACTCAAATTTTTAGGTTTACACTGCCGTTTCCAATGCTTGCATACCCTTTCTACTTGGTAATCCTTCTGCATCTTATTGTAAACAGTCCACTTGGTTACATCAAGTTAAAGAAGCTCATGTTTCACATCCGATTCACTTTTGTGATGCAGTGGAACAGAAGTCCAGGGAAAAATGGTTCTCATTATCATCCGGACAGTGACTTGTTTCTTCCAAAAGAGAAGAACGATGTTCTGACATCAACTGCCTGTTGGACTGCAATGGCGGCTTTGCTTGTTTGTCTCAACTTTGTCATGGGTCCAATCCAAATGCTCAAACTATATGGCGTCCCTTACTGGGTATGCTCGACTTCTGAACCTTCATTTCTGACAAACCAGTTTTTGTATTCCTTTGTTACCTCAGATGTGAAACTATTTACTGGCATTTCAAACACAATTAATGCAGATATTTGTAATGTGGTTGGACTTCGTCACTTACTTGCACCACCATGGACATGAAGACAAGCTCCCTTGGTACCGTGGAAAGGTACTCAAAACCTACTTCACAATTTGTACTCGAGTTACCTGAGAGTCACAGTTGTGAAATCTCAAACGCTTCATGTACTTTTCCCAACATAGGAATGGAGTTACCTGAGAGGAGGGCTCACGACATTGGATCGTGACTATGGTTGGATTAATAACATCCACCATGATATTGGAACTCATGTGATACATCATCTTTTCCCCCAGATCCCACATTATCATCTAGTAGAAGCTGTAAGAGTTATATCTTGAATGATCTAAAGTAAAGATACTGTGGTGTGGACTTGCTTCGATATGGTGTTAACATACTTAACTTTCCATTTCTCTTTTTCTAGACTGAAGCCGCTAAACCAGTACTAGGAAAGTACTACAGAGAACCGAAAAACTCTGGACCTCTGCCACTTCACTTACTGGGAAGCCTCATAAAAAGTATGAAACAAGACCATTTCGTAAGCGATACAGGAGACATTGTGTATTACGAGGCAGATCCAAAACTCAACTGACAAAGAACTTGACAACAGATTGCAATGAACCAGGCAGACAAGTTAAAATTCATCTTTGCCCATTCTTTAGGTTTCTTTTGTTTTGGTCGAGATTAAAATTAAAAAGCATTATTTTGTAGAAACCTGTGGTAAAACTTTCGATCTAATGAGTAATATTAAATCAAATATTCAGATGGATATATTTCATACAAGGATCTTGTTCTTTAGAGCCCAACGACATTATTATGGTAGTCAAACCAACACTTTTAATTTAAATCTATTACTGATGAAAAGCAAGGGCACTATTTTTCATGAACCAGTTACAATTCAAATCTTCATGACAGGAAACAGGTTGTGCTTGAAACCTTACAAGATAAATCACCTTGGCTTATATTGCTAGCACATTAGTACTGTACAGAGCGAACTGCAGTTATGAAGGAACTTATCTTAGACTTATCCTTCTGGATGCCGTCTGTGCTGCAAATACCGCTACTAACATCAATTCCATCAGGTTGAAGGATAGAAAGAGCTTCTGAAACGTTTGTTGGATTGATTCCCCCAGCTAAGAGCCACCCATTTCTGCTTCTGATGGAGGGCAACTTGAACTGAGCCCAATTAAATCCTTTACCACTGCAGAAAATTGTCATAATAAATATGGTTGTATACGAGAGAAAGATGTTCAGTCACATGAGCGTTGGAACCACCTAACCAACCTTAAAACACACTATGGTCATCAGTGTAAAAAATTTGGTATATCTATGTTGGACCTGAGTATCAGTATCTTCCAGAAAATGTCTGAACGTATCACACTCCTGATATTTCAACCACTTGTGAAAGACAAATGGTTTCATGTACTAGAGTGACTGTTTAAACTTGTTCCTCTCAGGAATACATTAGGAGAGAATCTGGCGAAAATGAAAAAGTTGTTCTAAGTACCTCCCACCCGTTGCACTATCCACAAGAATCCAATCAGCGAGATGACAATCTTCTTCAGGAACTGCATTCAGGAGCTTTCCATCCACACTTGCATTTAGAACATATATGACTCTCCTTTCGCGTACTAATCCCGAGAAAGCAGCACGTGAACCATTACCATGAAGCTGGAAGAAACCAAAACTATCAAGAGTTTAGAAATTTGAGAAAACCACCTAGGTGAGGATAAAACAGAAAAAAAATAAGAATGTAAACAACCTGCACGAGCTCAAGGTCTGAGGCATCAGCTGCTCTCAGTATCGTGCTCTCATCATCCTCAACAAAAACACCAACAGGTTTGGCCCCACCATCCCTGGCCACTTTGGAAATATCCTTTGCAACAGAAAGAGAAATGGATCGTTTTGAATTAGGCCAAATAATCATCCCGATGAAATCAGCACCAGCCTCAACTGCCATAGCAGCATCTCTGGCTGATGTGATACCGCACATCTTAACCAAAGGTCTATCCTTTCGTCTTTCATCATCTATAGGAGCTACATTCTCTGTCTTGGAAGAAACACTGCAGCTGAATTTCCTATTCTGAGCATACCCGACTCTCGAAAAAGACACCTTTCGACTGCTTAAACCTGATCACATTCAGTTGGGAAACAAAAGATAAGCTTCAGTAATTTACTGGAAACAAGAAAACACATACATCAGGTGAAAAGGAAACTAAAAGTCGTAAAAAGTAACCGGATTTGTAGGTTGTGGAGAAATTAGGATGGACTCGAAGATCTGTGGATATACCTGAGGAAAAGAACAAATCTTGTTTCATCAACTGATCTTAGAATGAAGCCATCAACTATCAACAAAAAAACACGAGCTCTGAATTTAATATAACATGGATCATCACTAAAGCAGAATGATAGCAGTGAAACTTTGCTACTAGAAAACAAAATTAAGCTCTTTGAGTAAATACATCGAACAAGTTATCTGCATATTCTTCCAAAACGAGCTCATCACGAGAAAAAGAAGAAGAAGAATACCTGTCGACATCTTAATTCCCCTGTCTGGAATCTCAATTGATATCGGATTTTCTCCCGTCGACGAAGAGAGAAGAGGAGGGTCAGCCGTCAGCGGAGACGGCGGTTGGCGGAAACTAAAAAACGAATTTACCAAACTTTTTATTATTAGTAGGTGTAGTTAAACCGAACCAAAGCAAACCGAATTATTTGAATTTCTGTTTGGTTTTTGTAGAACCGAATGATCCGTTTGCTTTCGGTTTTGTTAAATTTTCGATTACTTTTCAAGTCTTTTTAAGTTTATAAGTTTTGTTCATAAATATTTTAAGTTTTGTTCTAGCAGATTTCCATATTCAATTTTTTTTATCATGAAAGTATATATACATATGCATTGGAGGATATTCATTGATGTTTATCTTCTTATTACTCATGTCGGTTCAACAACTCTTGCTACCACAGAAGATATAGGGTTCTTATCATATGCGAGTTCCATATATATATATATATATGCTTCTATACATTCATTGGCAAGTTGGCTTTAAAAAAATAAAAACATTGATGTTTAATTGGTTTTATCAATGGTATATATTTATATATAATATATTACTTGACAGAGTTGGTTAGAAAGAGAATATTTTGGTGTTTAAATTTAATATTCAAATCTCATAATATATTTTCTGGATAAACGAAACTATATATAACACAAAAAAAATTAGTAAATTTTCCGAAGGAACAAAATTCAATAGTTGGATATGGAGGAATTTCTGCAATAATAATGTACTTGCATAAGATTAAGTAAGTGCCGTCAAGTAAGTTAATGCCAATAATAATCTGATTATCGTTTGTTAAACGATTTGTTCGATTCAACAACTTTTATATATTTAGTGTATTAATAGAAAAAACTTTAATAAACTATATATTTTATTTTTAATTAAATAATATTAAGTATTAAATTTTTAAATTAAAATTAGTTGGGAAATTTTTATGGATTTTTCCGTTGAAAAGTACATTAAAATAAAATATTTAAAAAAAAAAGTAGAAAATAAAAATCAAGTGTGAACGCGCTAGTTATTCGCAAGGCACATGATGAGACTGAGACAAAGCCAAAGAAGACAACATTTGCCGACATCTCATTGTAACACGGCGGTTCTTCTTCAGTGAGCCCCCAACCCAACCCTACATCCTGCATTTCCGTCCCCCCCCCCCCCCTTCCCCCTTGGCCCTTACCCTTTCCTTCTCTTACACACGTGCTAAATGTGGTTTTATCTCTTAACTTACCAAACTATTCGTTTTTTCTTGCAAAAACCTTTTTTTTTTTTTAAAATGCGAATTTATTTAAAACCGGATTCGTTCAAACAGCTAAAAAACACACAAGTCCCCTAGTTTTCTCTCATTCGTTCGTCTTTGTTAGGCGCAATCTCATCTCTTTAGCTAATCACCGATCCTTTTAAGGCTTCAAACTCATCATCATCTCTTTATCTTTCCTCTTTTCAGGCGAACCACACATCTTATTTACACACGATTGTATGCTTTTCCACTTAATCAACGGTTTTGTCCTTATTTACACACGATTGGATACCACTATATACATATCATCATGAATATATGATTAAAATCAATCATGCATTACAAATTATGTAGAAGATAAGTCTTAAGTAGTGTTTTTAAATTTTCTAAGTAGCAACTTTCTAGAGAATTTTCTCGACTGTATTGAAAAACTTGTGATCCATGTGGGCACCATATATATCTCTTTGCAAGCAAAATGTACGGATTTTGGGATAGTATCCACCACAATGTCCTCATCAATAAAATAGGAGTATGGGCGCAGTTTTGGTGAAATGTAAACACATGCATGTATCTATATATATAATTATCTTTAAATTATGATGACTTAGCTTGCCAAACATGGAGGAAGAGGCGTAATTCTAATAACCACTAGCTACTTAATTAGTGGAAGCCGTTAATGCGCTTCAACTATTTTCATTATTTAGCTAGAGAACGTTCATGCAGTTTACAACATTCGGTCGCATCAAAGTGAGAGTGTATTCAAACTTCATAATCGTTTGTAATATTATATCTAGTATATGACGACTAACTCCAACGAAATCTTCATTATCGTCAACCACCAACGCCGCCGTGTGATCGACATATTTCATTAACAAATAACAAATTAATGGCTCAATCCCATAACTGTAATTAACATCTAGATATAGTGTATGGTGATGGAGATAGAAAGTTTCTATATATTGTAGTACGTAGAATAGGAACTTCAGACTTTCTCATGAGAGAAACTTAACACAAACGTTTAGCTCGATAAAATGTATTAAGATGGATGGATGACTAAATTAACAGTATCAATAGAAGTGATTTCTAGTCGCCGTACAAATCAGTAAGAAAAAACAAAAAGCACAAGAGGTCCATAAAATAAATTAAAATTCTACATTGTCTTGTTTTGTTTTGTGAATAGGCTAGTTGCTGTTGTTGATAAGTTGTCCCCCAAAAGGCAAGGCCCACATGTTGAACGCGGAGGCTAAACGAGAGCTTGGTTAATGAGACTGTTATATTGGAATTGCAGTAGATTGCTCTACAGAGACATGTCTACGTAACCCCTCTCCTCTCTCACCTTCACTATCATCATCAGACTTATTATATGTGATCCATCCATCTCTATAACTCATATATATCATCATCACATATTCACATTATTATCACCCATCAAACCTAAACTCTAATGATTAGGAAACATAATTCAAATTAATTATTATATTCAGTACTTGTTTATATAACTCGGTCAACTACAATGAAACCATTGCATCCAGACAAATTGTGTTAGATATAACAACACATTTTCGGAAAAGACTTTTGACTATCTAGAAAAACTATAAACAGCAAATTTGTAACATTTTTAATCGTCTTATTCAACTGTTTATTCGCGAGAATAAAAACTAAAATAAATATTATAAAAGAGGTTTAGTTTGCTTAACTTATAAAAGGCAAATTCCCCCTATAAAATAAGGTTTCTAGATATATAGACCAATAAAATTAAGCATTGCATTGACCATTTTAGATCATATTGAATCATTCTCACATTCTCATCACATGTATGTTAGTATCGACAGATAACATTTGACCCACGTAAACCAAAAAATAAATAATAATTTGGTAATGTCGATAAGATCATCAAAATCTCTCTCTAATCTCTATAAATGGGTAAATAGAAATCTAGAAAAGTTATGTTCAACGTACGTTTTCTCTTTAAAACGCGTTACGTCACTGACGACGCCATTTCACATTACATTGATTTATTAGCCCACGTGGTGGTATCTGTATATTTATATAATGGAAGCTTAATTAATACTTATATAAAACAAAACTTTTGTTTACTTTTCTATTCGTCTCAATTCATTTATCCAAAGGCGTTGACTAATTTTATGTGATGTATATTAAAACAAATATCTCTATGCATTAAGCCCTTTTGCTGCTTTGGTATGTCGACGGAAGCCGTAATTGGTGAATTGATCGCATCCCTAACTCCTGTTAAAGGGATTACGTTTTACTTTTCTTTTTACAGGATTCATTATGTCATGTGCTTATCTGATTTCTAGAAACCACCGTTGCAATTAATTAGTTTTTAGACACGAAACCAGTAATGTTTAAGTTAATTAAACATGTCCCTGTTACAACTTAATGAAATTCAACAACATAGCTTAAACTTAGATAACGCGGTTCTCGTTTCAATGTAACAGCTAAGTTAATTGCAAAATTGATTTAATGGTTGAATTTATATAAAAGTTTTTTTTAAGTCAAGAATTAAATCCACACTTTAATCGACTTTAAATTATTTCTAAAAATCTGACAGTCTAACTTCTCTTATTTTTTGTTCCTAGGTTTATTTTATTTTGAAAAGGTCAATAATAAATGATTATTTTTTTAAGTTTAATTTTCTACAGCAATCTTCTTAATGCATTAATTTTTAGTTTGCTATAAACGAATCACTGTTTAAACCCACAAACGTAAAGGGGTTGAATATATATGAAACAAAAATATAATATAAAGTTTCATCAAATGTTCAATTTAAAGGAGACTCACATAATCTTGTATTAATATTCATTCTTACAACTCTTACCTATCAATCAGGCTACTATATATATATATCACACCCATAGCATTCTATTTCTATAGCGTCACCAAATAGATGTCAATTTCTCCATCTCTAATTATATTTAACAAATATAATTTTTACCTCTACAGAATAAGTAACCATCACCCCCATACACATATGTCCCGTTGCCCATAAGTCGACACGTGCGTGTCGTCTATTGAAGCAAAGATTATTTAATTTAAAATCTTTAAAGATTAGTAGTATAATTATTTAGCCGTAGTTAATGTTTGTCGACATTTAGTCATTAAAAATAGTTTAAAGCCAAAGATTGCCTCAAACTCAAAGTAATGCCTAGTTTCACATGTCGATCCAATAAATTTTTGTTGTATCCTTTTTTTCTATCCCAAGAAAATAAAAAAAGTAGAACAATACTTTTTCACACGTTTCATGAATAAACAAAGACGTTGCTTTCATCGTCTTCGAGCCGATTTCTAGATTCTCCTCCACCACCATTTTAACCCTTCTTTTAAATTCCTTCCTTCAATCAAAACTTTGTATTTATTTATCACAAACCTCTTCTTTATATCTCCTAACAACGTCTCGCATGAACAAGAAGATTGAATCGAAACAAAGAAGATCATGAACATGAACAAGAACAAGGTGGATGTCAAGATCGAGACGAAGAAAGGGTCGATGGACGAGTGGCCTGAGCCAGTGGTCCGAGTCCAGTCCCTAGCCGAGAGCAACCTCTCCTCTCTCCCCGACCGGTACATCAAACCGGCCTCTCTACGCCCCACCCCGGCCCAAGACGCTGCCGCCGCGACCAACATCCCAATCATAGACCTGGAAGGGCTCTTCTCGGAGGAAGGGACGTCCGATGACGTCATCATGGCTCGGATATCGGAGGCTTGCCGAGAGTGGGGGTTTTTCCAAGTGGTGAACCACGGGGTCAAACCGGAGCTGATGGACGCGGCTAGAGAGAGTTGGAGAGAGTTTTTCCATATGCCGGTCAATGCGAAGGAGACTTACTCGAACTCACCAAGAACCTACGAAGGGTATGGGAGTAGATTAGGTGTTGAGAAAGGAGCAAGCCTTGACTGGAGTGACTATTACTTTCTTCATCTTCTTCCTCATCGTTTGAAAGACTTCAACAAGTGGCCTTCTTTTCCTCCCACCATAAGGTTAGCTCTCTCTTCTTTTAATCATTTTTGTTTTAAAAGTGTTCATGATGATTACTTTTATTTTTTATTTGGGTAGTGTGTGAGTACTGAGTAGAAGATCCATTTATATAGTGTATATAGTTTTTTTAAATCTTTAAACCGTACGGACAAGTGGTACAATCTAGGAATACTTATCCCTTTTCTAATAGTTCTGATATATTTTAAGTTCTTGGGGAATGTGAAAATACTGATTTATCTGCCAGAAAGCAAGTGTTTTCTTTTGCTTCTGACGAGGAGAATAATGTGATTTTTAACGTTAGGATAAAGTACAATCTAGTTGGGGAAATAACATTAACTATCTTTTATTTTATAAAAAAAAAATAGAGAAGTGATCGATGAATACGGGAAAGAACTAGTGAATCTAAGCGGGAGAATCATGAGGGTGTTGTCGACCAATCTGGGACTACAAGAGGATAAGTTTCAAGAAGCATTCGGAGGTGAAAACATTGGAGCATGTCTGAGGGTTAATTACTACCCCAAGTGCCCTCGACCGGAGCTGGCTCTTGGTCTCTCCCCTCACTCCGACCCTGGCGGCATGACCGTTCTCTTACCGGACGATCAAGTCTTCGGTCTCCAGGTTCGTAAAGATGACACGTGGATCACCGTCAAGCCTCATCCCCATGCTTTCATCGTCAATATTGGTGATCAGATTCAGGTAAACAATTCATTTTATTTAATTGCCGTTTGTTTTGGTTATTCTTTTCCATGTTGCTAATACTTTATAAATATATATACCTTAAAAATTATATATAACGTATAAACAAAGTATAAACTATTTACTAGATACAGTACACCTCATAAATTTTTCTAAATACTTAATTTCTTTTTACTAGTATATATATAATCTATAAATCCCTTGCTGTGTTTATCTTGTGTCAGAAAAAAAATCGTCTATAAAGAAAAGGACAAATGAGAAAGTTGTTATTTGACAACGAATGAATAAGATATAAGCTAAAGTTGCACGTTTTATACATGTTTTAAAACACAAGTATGATAAACAGCTACCACTTGGTGCTCAAATGATATTTGCCTTTTTGATTTTTCAACCAAAATTTAATTTAATTGTTAGGTCATTATTCCGACAATAGAAAATTACGTCCTTTTAGATCTAATCTGTCAACAAGTGTCAATCGGTTTTTATGGAAATTAGAAATATATCAAGACAATATTAAGAAAGTAAATAAGATATATATTTTTTTTTTGAGTTTATGTGGCTGTCTCTATTTTTATTACGAAACAAATAGTACAGCAAATCCTTCATTGCGCACATGTTTGTGTTTGGCCGTTTGCCCCATGTTGCTGATAAGAAATATTTATCTGTACAATGTATAACACGATTTTTTAAACACAAACACCACATGTATATAAATATATGCACCGAAATTTGGTGAAAAGAAGATAAAATTTCCTTAGAATCAAACAACTTACGTGCGTGTTGATGAAAAAAATGCAGATACTAAGCAACTCAACGTACAAGAGTGTGGAGCATAGGGTGATCGTGAACTCGGACAAAGAGAGAGTGTCACTTGCCTTCTTCTACAACCCTAAAAGCGATATTCCCATCCAACCATTACAAGAACTTGTATCCGCTCGTAGTCCTCCTTTATATCCTCCCATGACCTTTGATCAGTATAGACTCTTTATCAGAACTCAAGGTCCACAAGGCAAATCCCATGTTGAATCTCATATTTCTCCTCGGCCTCGTTGATTGTTTCTTTTTTTTTCCTATTAAGAAAAAAAATTAATGTTATTAATTTTGTAATTTCAGGATATTACATCTGACTTGTATATGATTGTACAATCATTTTTATATTTTGAATTTTCAAAGGATCATTATTTATCTTTAAGCAAATAAACTATACTGAATTGCATGCGGAAATAGATAATACTGTATACAATAGTACTTTCTTAGATATATATATCTATATATATAAAGTTAGCTTTTTCTCTCTTCTCCGTAAGCCACATCATCATCCACCTCATTTTATTATTTAATTTTTAAAATTAATTATAACATTTTATCATTTAATTTTAATATTTAAACCTATGTAAATAAGTTTTTCCAAAATGAATATGAAAGGTCTTTTTTATAATATACATTATAAAACTAAAAAAGATAATTGATTAAGAGTTTAAAAAAACTTACTAATTATCGATTAAACTAACAAATATATAAATAATAGATTATAGTTTTAGTGAATGTTTAAAATATATATATGATTATATTTACACAATGTAAACCTAAATATAATAGGATTTAACGGGAA